AATCTATGTTTATAGAAAACGGTACTTTTGTGGGCCATTGCTAACTCACACCTACATTTCTCAGATGCCCTTTGCGTTAAAACAATCTTGTTGAAAATCTAGCCCGCATTTCATTTGATCCAGATCTGATATCAAACTGACATTTTGTTCCAATTAATGTCTCAGTCAATTTAATGAAAATCAAAGACGTTTTGAAACATTAGTACTAAATATTCGAATAACAAAATACTAGACAGAATATTTATACATACTTTTCTTTAGGTCAAAACAATTTTTATCAAAATAATATTAGATGTATAAAGTACTAATATATATTTTGGACAGTATTTAGTCTGCAAGGATTTGCACCTGTATTTTAACGATAGCTCCAATTTCAATATTTATAAAAAAATGTTCTAGCCACTTGGTGCTATTGCTTACCTTTCCAGACAAACCTGTATATTCACAATACAAGTTTTCTCACAATGTTTTCTCCTAATTTCTAAATAGGTGCATGAACCAAATGCATAGTAATCATACACCTCAATGGTTAGATCCCATAGCTGCCTTTACATTATCCATACAACCGTTGTCTCAGCCGCACCAAAGACAATAGATTTCCTTGATTAATACTGATAAATCGCCGGATATGCAATTTTCTTGATTTTGCTTTTATTTTACTATTGACCTAAAAAAGCAATATTTTTCAGCAGCTTTAACAAAAAGTCAATTTTTCCTCGTAGTTTTTAAAATAGCTATGTTAACAAAGTAAATTTATGTATTTATATATATACTAAATTAAGCAATTTTAAACTTTGACGCGTCCTCCTGTAAAATTGCTGATTTGCAGATCCTACATTCTTAATAGGGATGGGCGAAATATTCAGACAAGTTAAATAAAAGTAATATACACACCTTATTTAAGTGCCATAGTAATAATCTCATTAAAAAGCTTATACCGAACTGATATACCACCACCAAATCTGGTAAGACTTCAATAGAAAAGAAAAATTCATGTAGAAATTAATTTCATACTTTCGTTACTGTACGTGAACTTACGTACGTAAAGTGGCGAATACATGAATAGAATCGCCTTGCAATAGTTAAATTCATGGTCATTTTATGCAAATATGCAACATATAGCGTTACTAAATTAGTTGTCATCTGACTCATTACGTGTATTTAATCACATAATTTTAAATGCATTAAGTAACTTCACTGACAGTCTATCGTTTATAAAACATACTACGAGTATTGCGCGGTTTCGCTAGTTTTTTTTCCTATTTCGTTTACTACCTTTTACCCCCTTAGTTTAAAAGTAATAAACATGTTATTAAAATAAACAATGTACCGTTCCCATGAATAATGCACCACTAATATATTTTTAACTGCTACAGTTTTTTTTTATGCAAAAGAGTCTAATAGGAGTGATACCGCTAATAGTTTAATAGATTGCAGTTTAATTCTAGACGCAACCATTGATAGAAACAGTGATACCAGAGCGCCGATTAATACCCATCATGTGCAACACAAAAACTTTAATTATACCCACCACTTCTCTAAAGAAACATTTCAAACAAGTCATACAAAAGAACATCATAAACGTTGATAAACGTACATCTCATTCGAGTATTATATTTATAAAAGGCTGTGATTTAAGCGTTGATGACACGATGATTCTGTGTCTGAACTTGTGAGTAGCTTTCAAGGGATGAAGAGATGCAATGTTTGGTTACACAGCCTGTTGGAAGACTTATAAGCGAGACAGAGTTAGTATGTAAATCACCGCGTTATCGCATCATGTTGCACATACTTAATTAGCTAGATTGTTGCGAGCCGTCCCACTTTATTCAATAGTGTTGGTCTTCGTCGATGCACGCCAACGATAATTTAATAATAAATAAACCTAGGATTCTTGTGGTGTGTGTTTTGTTACCTTACATATAATTACACTAATAAATAATAAAGACAAAAGTTTGTGAATGTGTATTTGTCACTTCTCCGCGCTCAAGACAAGAATCAACACAACTAGACCACTTCTGATAAAACTTGCTATGAAGGTAGCTGACACCCTGGATTAAGCTATCTTTTATTTTTTTAAATGTAGTGTTCTTGTAGGATAAGCAAGGAATTGAAAATGAAAATCCGCGGGTAACAGCACAGAGCAGCTAGTCAAATTATTGTAAAGCTTACAGTTTTGTACTTTTCCACCTACAAATGACTTACTCTTAGTTTATTGCATATTATTACATACCATTCAATCTTTAACTATAATTTGAAGTGCCTGTAACATCCGTTTACAAGACACAAAAGTGTTGTCCTATTTAAGAGTTGTATGTAAAATTAGTACATAACTCAAAGCGCTAACAATTTTAGGAAAATTCGATGTTTAGATAATCTTTTAAAACTGCCTAATTAATTCAAAAATAGACAGATAAAGTTTATACCTTTTACGATGATGTCTTTTCTGCAATATGTATTATAACCTAACTATATTTGAATGCAACTGTTGCACTGGAGATCAGTTACTTCACCTCTGCAAATATTAACCTCATGAGGACAAACTTAGACATATTTTATAGTGTCAATGGGACACAGAAATACCTTCTAATAATTACCACAATAAAATGTACAGTCCGTATACTTATTAAGTTTATTGACGTAATTTATGAACCCTGCAATGATGAGATATTACCAAGACTCTAATAGTAAATCATGCACGCCATTAATTGTAAATATGATAAATTGTAAATAATTTACAACTAAAACGACTGTCAGTTGCTCTGTCTTAGTTATTTTATAAAGAAATAAAAAAACAAAACGAAATAAAACAACAAGATTTAAACAAAAAAATCTGCAATAAACACTCATTTATTAATACCTCTTTTATTTCTTCTGTATTGAGACTTTTTGCTGTTACGATATATTGAATCGATAACGGACGTAGTACCTCACTATTTAAAAACAAAGAGCCTATTGGCGGTCTTCGTCTGTCTTTGGATTTAGTCGTTTTTTCTTCACTTCCTTAGTGAAAAGGATGCTGTGCATTCTATGGGTCCTTTATTTGCTCTCAGTACTTTTAATTGTTTTGTTCGTATGCTTAGTATTATTAAAAAAAACATATATTTATAGAAATAAGAATAAACTCGTGAAAGTAACATTCATTAATTTATCCTGAAGTATTTGTCATTCTTACTTCAAACCTGCACATCTGCCTATTGTTTTACCTTTTCAGGTGTGGTCAATTTTAAAGTCCCTTTAAAGCGTCTTCATTTTTTTAGGAAAGGCCTTCCCGTAAATTGAATATCGCTTGTGAATCGAATAAAGAGAGAATGGGTTAACGATGAAACTTTCAACGGTAACCGAGCCTATATATTGCAAATATAATTGATTTAACCATTAATATACTGTTCCTTTAGACTGTAACGAATGAAAACCGAAATAATTCTGTTTTTAGATTAGCTACAACGCCCTGGTTTTGGGTTCATAACAAATGTTTTACTACTACTTTTTTGTTGTTGTAATCAGTTTAAAAAGGTGTCTTAAAATGCAATGCCATACAAAATTATGGAGGTGGTTTGATTGTTAAAAATACGACCCCCTCAAAGTAAGTCTACTAGAAGAATTTAATTCGCAAAGTTTCACCGTGAAGTTATAATTCTAAGATGCGTGAAGTTATATCGTGATCCCGTATATAAAAACAACACCATAACTTGTGAACCCAGAGTGTGTAAATTAAGTCACCTGGCCCCAGGAAGATGTAGATACAAGACGGCAATATACAACGTGCAAAGGTTAGATAACATCAACCATCACGGCACTTCATTACAGTTGTTACATAATTACTATAAAACCATATAAATTATGCTGTTACATGGAGGGAAATGTCGCCGCATTTGCATTTAATGACACAAATACAAGTATATTACAAAAATCTGGACACATAAAATGTTACCTACTGAATTCCAACTGTATCTGTATACATATATGTATCCTGCAAAACCCCGGTCAGACGAGCAAAGGCATTGAATGTCCTGTCGAAATTTACGATATTGCAAGGCGAACATTCGCTGTATGGGACCATAAAAACTTATTGTGACTGGTTTTATAAAAGTCTAGAGAAGTGCATTGAAATGACGATCAAGACATTACGTCGGTTACATGTCAGTTGTAAGTTTAGAATATTTTGCATTGACTGCACGGATGTCGTAGTGGTTTAAGCGGTCGCCACGCCGCTTCTTACTACACTGAATGTTGTGGGTTCAAACCCCACACGGGACGACACTTTGTGTAATCCACAAATTGTTGTTCTGAGTCTGGATGTTCTTTGTGTCCGTTTCATGTATGTTTGTAAAGTCCCCCGCGACACAGGATATATTCCTAATGCGGGAGTTGTCTTTAAAAAAAAAACTAATAATATTTTGAGTAAGGTAATAATACCGATCATGTATGTCGTCGATGTTTTTCATTTTAATAACTTTTACATTAATTTTATGCGCGTGCCAGTGTCATTTTTTATTTAGTTAAATGAGAATCTTCATAAAAAAAATTGACAACTGGGTATAAAATGAAAATTTTATTTAAAGCATAAAGTTTTTAAGGAATAACACCTAAAAAAATTATCATTAGAACCGCACGGGACCATTGTGTAATTTCTCTTCGAAATGTCTAGGTGCTTTTCTTTTCTGTTAAGTTTTATTACTCAGTAATACAAAATGGTTCATTACTCGAACACTCAAGGTAATTACTTATAAATACTTAATGTAAACTACAGACACGTACAAATTGTAAAGGGGTAATTATAATGATTTTTGTTATAATGACCCCTTTCCAAAATGAGTGACGACGAAAAATTAGTTTTGTATTATAATCACTTAAAAATCTTTTAGGGCCTTTAACCCTTTTAATAATTGTAGGTGAGCGCACAATATAAAGTCCTACTAAAGAATTACAACTTTTAAAAACATGAGGATATTTTCTGAGAAAAGTCTGCAAGATGTAACGCAAAATTATTGTCCTAGGATACACAAGCTGCAGCAGCAGCGCTCACCTCCTTAGGACATGTCTATACAGCAATCGGCGACTACCCAAACGCATTAGCCAGTCACAAGCAATGCGTGCAACTTGTAAAACAAATGGGTGATCGTCTTCAAGAAGCAAGAGAAATCGGCAATGTTGGAGCTGTTTATCTAGCAATGGGAGAGTTCGACTCGGCAGTTGACTGTCATACTCAGCACTTGAGGCTGGCGAGAAGGCTTGGAGATCAAGTAAGTTTAAATTCAGAATGCAATATAGAGAGAATTTCAATGTGAAACATAGAACCTTGAGGACTCATTGACAAATAGCTAAAAATCAGACCCTCTAGTTTGTCCAAATATATACTGAGTTAGAGAACAAGCTAAGGGGCCAAAGTCTATGCCAGTTACTATAAACGAATCGAGAGCCTTCTTCTTTCTATATGCAATTTATGCATCGTCACCTCAGGTTTTAATAATATTCACGAGTTTATGTTAACACATTACAGCAGTTCTCTATATTGTCTCATCTCCGAATCAATATTTAAGTCATATATTCTTTTTCAGGTTGAAGAAGCACGGGCGTACTCAAATTTAGGATCATCCTACCACTATAGACGTAACTTTTCTCAAGCGATAGCTTACCATGAGAACGTACTAAGGATAGCTCAAAACCTCGGCGACAGAGCTATCGAAGCTCGGGCGTATGCTGGACTGGGACATGCTGCCAGGTATTTTCTCTAGTGAACTCTAACTTATCAATAGTAACTTATAAGTTTGATGCATAAAACAGATACTAAATATTTTGATTTGTACAGTGAGTTGGTAATTTTTTTTGACGTAATGACCCATAAACACATTGTATCATTAAATTTATGTACGTTTTTCTTCTCTTTACTGTAAAGTTTACGAACGCCCGCTTCTGAGACCTTGCATCTCCTTACAGGGCAACATCATTAAGCAGCTATAAATAATAATAGCTCCAAAACATCTCGTTCACTAAACTATCAATATTTTGATTCCTAAATTCCAAGACTTTACCTTATTTTAAGGAAAAAGTTAGAGCAAATATCGTGAATTGGAGATCAGTAGGACTTTTACAATCTAAACTAAACCCGGAGATTTTTATCTTTGGTCTAATTTTTTTAATTTGGTCCTTTATTAAATTTTTAAAATAAATTAGCAAACGCCTTCAGTTTCATACCCCAATTTTAAATACAATAAAATACAAAATTACAAGTTGACAGACAATTACAGACTTGCTAAATCTTCTTTAATATTACAAATTGTTATCGATAGTTACATTCTTCCGTATTTAATTGCAGGTAAAAAAAAGTATCTGTATTGATTTACTACTATTTAGTGTTACAATGTCAAGCTATCTGGGAGCTTGTTAGAATTTGTCAGAAAAGTTGTCAGTCTGAAAAAATATGAGAATATTTTTAGTTGAAAATTACAGTAAAGGAAGAATATAATGTATAGTACGTGTGAAAAGATAGAAGTGGTAGGCTGTGTTGCTTTTTCTAACTCGAACTTTCTCTAAACACATTTACATAGAATAATTCCTTTCGCATAACGGATTCCAATACCATTTCTGTTCATGAACTTATGCAAGCGTTTATATTCACGTATATTACTAGAATTTATGATGACAACACGGTTGTATTATAGATATATTATCTTCAGGTATTTCTAAGCTAACTGTTTTGTACAAGACCACACATATCTCATATGTAAGTAGTTACAGCTCGTACTGAATTTATGTATACCTGCGAGTCCTCTTTCTAAACACCGTATTGTCATAGACCAATGAAACTGTCGCTTTAACATAACCCTTTAGAATACAAGCTGTATTATTGATAAAGTAAAGCCATATATTAATTTTATCTATTTTTTATTTTATATTACAATAAAACTGACGACATTAATTTTTTTGATCGAATGTGCGAACCTGAAACTACTGGTGAAGATTTGTCTTTGCATTGAATAACCCAGCCCTATTCTTGGAGCAGGTGGGGTCTTTAAAAGCAGAACGGCTAGCATTTAGAATATCAATTTTATTTGAAGACATATATTAGGATGAATAATAACTCTAGTAATTTACACAGGTGCGCCGGTGATTACGCGCAGGCAAAGAAATGGCACGAAAGACAATTGGACGTCGCTCTGGCCGCCAGGGATAAGGTATGAACATAATATTAATGTCTTTGCGTATGCGCAGGCACGTGTCCTCACAAGTTGAAACTTCATAAACCTGGGCACAGATCCCTGGCGAGAATCACATCACATCACATCAACAGCCTTTAATAGTCCACTGCTGGACATAGGCCTCTCCTTAGAAAGAAGGTTTTGGCCTACTATACCACGCTGGCCAGGCGGGTTGGTATAGGGTTTGTGTCAAGTTTGAATGTACAGAGAAATTTAAAGTACATGTTATAACTGGTTTAATACTTAAAATATAAATTATCACTAGTTTCACGGAAACGTAATACGAGGACAATGCTACCTATATATTTTGAATATGTAAAAAACAATATTGCACATTTTTAAATATATATTTATTTATCATACATATTCATAAAATTATCTGTCTTAAATAAAATTAGTCTGCTTAAAAATTCAACTATTCGGATAAAAAAAGTTTATTGTAGTTTTTGGTGGGATTTGTGAGCTTTTAAAGAATTTTTAAGCTTTTTTAATCTGAATGTGACCTTTTTCTTTAAGATAGTATTATAATATAGAACTAATACCAAGAGACGATATTTTAATAACTTAAATCTAAAAATATTTTGCATAACATAGGTTGGAGAAGGCAGAGCATGTTCAAACTTGGGCATTGTGTACCAACTGTTAGGAGAACACGACGCTGCGTTGAAGCTACATCAAGCCCATTTATCTATTGCAAGACAATTACAGGTACTCTTTATAAATATTCATACATACATAACAATACATCAACTAAGTTGGTGGGCTTAGTATGTAGCCTAACACCTTCTGAATATACTCTATTACCTTTGTTAGAAGTCCACCGTGATCTAACCACATGAAGTCTGGAAGCCATTTACAAAACCTTGATAAGGCTACAAGTTAATCATACAAAGCAATTCCTACTTCCATCGGTCGCACTTCATCAATAGTAACCAGTGGTATTTCTAGACCGATACGACTTTTAAGCCTTCAAGAAAAGTTCTAAATTTCTATGTTTAATATAACATTTTTGTATTTACAAAATGGAAATGTATTCTAGAATATATATCTGCTTTTGTTAAAAGCAGATATATAAGAATCTTGTACCTTATTCTAGAATCCATGTTGTAGCTTCCTATGCTTAGCTAATATGTCCGCACAAATATGAAATACGTAGGTGAGTTCATTCAACTATTGATTCCGTTAAATCTAGGTCTATCATCCATAAATGCCGCAGAAATTGGCACTAAAATACTTTACATTAACATTTAATAATATCATATTGTCATAGAAGTGAGAAGATCGTAAAGAAAATAATCTGTGCTCATTGCAATTCACTTAGCATAAAACACGCTAATATCAATTTGAAACTATAATTAAGTTGGAAATCGTTAAACGCGTATTTTAGCTATAAATTATTAAACAGATGACATTCTTATCATTCTATAGAGAAACGTTGTTAATCTTAAAAGATCATGTAGTGCTAAAAGATAAAATTTACACTGAGTTGATCAACAACAAACTATCTAAAAAGATCAATTGAAATTTTTCAGGACAAAGCAGGTATGGGCCGGGCTTACGGTAATATAGGAAATGCATACTCAGCCGCGGGGTTCTACGAACAGGCCATCAAGTACCATAAGCAAGAACTCACGATATCCAAGGAAGTTCATGACAGAAGTTCTGAGGCATCGACGCATGGGAACTTGGCAGTGGCGTACCAGGCTTTGGGCGCTCACGATATGGCGCTATTCCATTACAGAGCTCACTTAGGTAAGAACTGGTTATGTTTTTTGTTTTATTACCCATTAAACACTACTACCCAATAACTCTAGTCTGTCTAATCACAAATTGTGAGCAAAATTATTTTCCAGGGTCCAGAACTCTTCTAATCATTCGGGATGTATCAATTTGACGACCGGATGGCGTAGTGGTTTGTGTAACGGACTGCTATTCCAAAGGTCGCGGGTTCAATTCCCGCTCAAGTCAAACATTTGTGTGCATGAACATTTGATGTTTGATTTGGTCTGGGTGTTTCTATGTATAATATGTATGTATTTACAAAAAAAAAAGTATATATGTATTTATATCAGTTGTCTAGTACCCATAATACAAGCTCTGCTTAGTTTGGGACTAGATGGCGTTGTGTGTATGTGGTAGAATATTATTATATTATTATTTAAAAGTGATCAACTGAAAACTGAACATTTCAAAGTACAATAATTTATCTATCTTTATCTAATAGGCATCGCCCGTGAACTTAAAGACGCTGCTGGTGAAGCATGTGCACTGCTGAACCTCGGCAACTGTCTCTCATCACGAGGCGAGTTCGCTCAAGCAGTGCCTTACTACGAGCAACATTTGATGCTTTCACAAGAACTCGGTGACGTAACGGCTGAGGCTAAGGCGTGCCACTTTTTGGGCTACGCCCACTACTGTCTAGGAAACTATAGAGAAGCCGTCCGGTAAGTTTTTAAATTCGTTTAAATACTTTTTGTTACAAGATTATATTAATTTGAAGAAATTTTGTTATTTTCAGAGCAGAGTAGAGTGCTCTGTTTATCTGTTTTCATTATATTTTTCTTCTCATTATATTATTTTCTTTATAAATTAATCCTTTTTTTCACATTTATCAATTCAATAAATTAAAGTGCCATCGTCCTAATTTTCAATTATAATCATTGACTTATTTTGGTTTGGATAATAATGACAATGACAAAGTTATATCAAAAGATAATGTCAAACCTATTTCTCTTCTTCGAAATGCTAATATTAATTTGTTTTCAACTTTTTTCAGGTACTACGACCAAGATCTATCGCTTGCCAAAGATCTACAAGATAAGATGAATATGGGCCGAGCGTACTGTAACCTTGGGTTGGCCCATTTAGCACTTGGTAACTTGGAAACCGCATTGGAATGTCAGAAATATTTCCTGGCTATTGCGCACATGACACAACATTTGCAAGGGAAGTTTAGAGCCTTAGGGAATATAGGAGATGTGCTCATTAAAATGGGTGATGTAGAAGAAGCTGTGAAAATGTATCAAAGACAGCTTGGATTTGCGAGACAAGTATGTATGAAAATTAAAATCATTTAAGAGCCTCTCTCTATGTCTAGTTTTCTCTATTCTTTTTATCACCATGTTTCCAAAAAAATAACTGCCGTGATCTTCAGATCAATATAAAAATAAATAAAATAAACATATATTATTCTTTTATTAATGGAATAGGTCTCTGTGTTCTCATCATCTCTGTCATCTCATAGAATCTAACGATAAAGACAAAGATGGCATTTGAAATGATTCTACAAATAATTATTTCCTAGCTCTAAAAATAATTTCCAATCCATTACAGGCTCGGGACCGATCATTAGAAGCAGCAGCCTGCGGTGCATTAGGCTTGGCTAGAAGATTACAAAGAAGGCTCGATGCTGCCTTAGGACATCATACACAAGTAAGACATTTTGTTTATACATGAGTGTCTCTTCAAATTACACCCAATTTACGCAAATTAATTAATTTACCCAATACTGTGCTAGAAATAGGCTTGGAACTGGTTACATGTTAAACAAATTATATTAGAATTTTTATTATTTGCAACAGGAATTAACCCTTCGACAAGAAGCAGGTGATTCTGCTGGAGAAGCAAGAGCACATTCACATCTTGGAGCCGTTTATATGGCTCTTGGTCATTATTCGCATGCAGCACGATGCTATAGGGTATGTAATCTTTTAGTCTAATTCGATTAGATTAGACTACAAATGGACTGCAAGTTATATATGGTCAAATAAATTCTATACATTTCTAATTCTAGGTTACATTTAACTTGACCACACATCTACCCTGGACTTTCTCATTTATATCCGTATACTTTGCTTATAGGAACAATTAGAGCGAGCCCAAGAGCTGCAAGACTGCGCATTAGAAGCACAAGCATACGGGAACCTCGGCATCGCTAAGCTCAACATGGGACACTATGAAGATGCCATTGGCTACTTAGAGCAGGTTTGTTATAATTAGCAATATAGCAATAATAGCTTTTGCCCATGGCTCTACCTGCGTGTATGTCATTTATCATGGAAAAGCGGCGGTCTAATAGTGTATCTCCATCTCAAAGTATCTTCATGCCAAATTTCATTAAAATCGGTTCAGCGGTTTAGCCGTGAAAGCGTAACAGACAGACGGACAGGGTTACTTCCGTATTTATAATATTAGTAGGGATTATGCAAAAATTAAGATAGGCTTTTAAGATGCTTTTCTGAAGAAAATACTTAGTCTCAGAAAATTCAACAATCAAAGACCTTTCTTCGTTTTTGTTCGTAATTTCAACAAATAATAACAAAACTTTATTTGATTTTCAGCAACTAGCAATCCTAGAACGTGTGAATACTCCAACTTGTCAACTGGATAAGGCTAGAGCGCTAGGTTCTCTCGGTGACTGTTATGACGCGTTAGGAGACCCCGATGAGGCAGCAAAATATCATGAACAACATCTTGCTGCAGCGCTGAAGCTAGATAATAAAAGGGAACAAGAAAGAGCATACCGAGGACTTGGGCTTAGTCACAAGTAAGACACTTATTATCTGATTAAACTTATTATAACCAGTAGGTTTTTTTATTAAATCCTCAAAATTTTCCACTCAGAATCCAACAAGATTCAATTAATATTTTTTTCATATATTTAGGTCGGTGGGTAATCTTCAACAAGCACTCGTATGTTTAGAAAAGCGATTGGTTGTGTCGCATGAACTTGGTGCTCCCGAAGCGAAGGCCCAAGCATACGGAGAACTTGGAGCACTTCATATCGCTCTTAACAACTTGGAGCAAGCGGTGCTGTGTCTAGATCATCAAAAGAATATTGCAAAGTAAGTATTTTATATCTGCATACAAAGTACTTGAAGACACCTTTTAAACAAGGGACTTTTGACATCGAGTAGTTAAAATAAAATAAGAATACGTCTAAAACTGTTGTGCCAATTGGCAGAGTAGTTAGAGCCCCAGCTTTTCTCTACGTTAAGAAGAGAAAAGTTGCATTTCTGTTTGACCAAGTCATAGTTTAAGCCACGTTCTATCCTGCCCTAGGAATTTTTTTCTTTAGTTTTTTTCTTGCAATTTAGGAGACCTGTTATCCGTACCTACCTCTTATAAAACATGAGAACGGGTTCAACTTAACAGGAGACTGAATAAGAAAAATTCCCTTATTCCAATATCCAGTGTTACCGTACTGTTTTGTCTATCAGAAAAATGTAGGCCACTTAAACCATAGGTTAACGAAAATCTAACAAGAACTATCAGAAAATAAAATTACTTTATATTTAAAATGCAGTCCTAAAATAGAAATGTGTATTACAGTTACATGTCGTTGCATACTATTTACGAGCTTGTTCTTTCAGAGAGCTAAACAATCAAATAATGGAAGCAGAGGCGTGTCACTCGTTAGGTGTAGCCCAGCATGCCCTCGGGGATCACGCGGCCGCCGTGCGACATCACCGGGCTGAGCTTGAACTAGCGCACAGACTTGCGCTCACGCATCTACAGGTAATCAAATAAACATCATTTCCTATTGTCATCATAACTATGTATATATTTTGTAACATATTACAAAATATAACATTCCGAGTCTGAACATGAATGTAAATCTCGTTGACTTAGTGGAGATCACTTAAGAAGATACTAATGAAAAATAAATTTTATTTATTAACTTTATATCTTAATGTGAGCTGTTGTTATAATTTTTGATATTCCTATTTATAATTCTATTATATTGTAAACCGTTCCAAATTCTTGTCAATTTGACATTAAAATATTGTGTTGTTATATGTAGGCACGCGCATGCGGCGGGTTGGGCGCAGCTCATGCGTCCATGGGTGCTCATGCAGAAGCAGCGCGCTGGCACGAGTCGCGCCTGCGTCATGCTACTGCTGCAGGTATAAATACCATTTCATCTAACTTTTCATACCGTTCTTTAAATATTTCGAAAGAATTTTAACCTACCTTGGTTAAAATAAATTGTTTAAGAGTTCTCATAAGATGTGACATGAGACTGTGAAAACCAAATATTACAAGTAAACGATTTGACAATTCTTGACAATTTGACAATTCAATATGAGGAGTTTCTTCAGCCTACTGTATAATTTTGACGTTTCATAATATCCCTTGAAGGACCAAAGCGTGTAAAAGTTGCGTTTATTACTGAAGTAATACAACAAAGTATCTCAATATATATTTAAAGTATTGCTTAAGATACAATGTGTTCATTATATCAGTATATAATACCTATAGTATTAATTTTTTTCAATTTTACACAAACTCTTGTTATTTCTATCTACAGGTGACACTCGAGGAAGAGCTCAGGCCTTGGCCGATCTTGGTCGCGCTCACTTGGCGATGGGTGCATGTGGCAGTGCCGTCTCTTACCTAAGACAGGCACTTGCTGCTACTGAAGGATTAGCTGATGCCGATGAAGAGGTAGGTTATAGTGTTACAGTAGTATCTTTACCTGAGTAACCTAGCTAATACAGTAATTGGCTTATCTCATACAAAATATATAAACCGTTTTTTTTTTTAACCTTATTGTATTGTCGGCGATAATAAGGATATTTTACTACATTAAATGACTTAACTTTATTTTGTATAGGCTCGCGTTCGTCACCGGCTTGGTTTTGCACTTTGGGCTTCAGGAGAACTAGAAGAAGCAAAGGAGCAGCTTCAAGCAGCTCTCACTTTACTTGAAACCGGACACGATAAACATAGGGACAAAAAAATAGCAGCATTATATACCTCCACGCAGCATGCTCTACAAAGAGTTCTTGTTGGTAAGTTACAAATCCCCTTGTGCCGTTTTGTTTCAAGTTGCTTTAAGCTCTTCATAAAATAGCAGTATTTTCCCGTGAAGTACCTTTCAAAAACTTTTTAGGTCAATTACTAAATCTTCTTGGCTTAAATTGACTAACCTAAAATTTTCGTGTTGCTTATTTCTAAATATATATTATATATATTATTATATTAAAATAGGCAGCTTTAAGATCACTTCCATTATTATCTATTGATTTATCATAGATTATTTTTGTGAGCTTTAAACCTTTTACTTTACATAAATAACATTCCATTTGTGACCACAAGTCTCTTTTAATCATCTTCACAAGAGGTAGATTCACAGTAAAACTTTTAGTATTTCGCTTAGTGTTATGGTTTATTATGGCTTACTATCTGCGTTATTTTGATTTATCATTTACAACTTTTTACAGAACTCGGTCGCCACCCTGAAGCACTGGTTGTAGCTGAAAGAGGACGTTGCCGATCGCTGGACACTGTCAGTGAAAAACCTCCTGGAGCTCTCAATCAAGCCAATCTCGAACTACATGCTACTCAAAGGTGGGTTATATCTCGCTAGATTAGAATAATTTGAATGCCCACAATCAGGTATATGGGACACTTCTAGCCAAACAATCTTATAACCCAATAAAACAAAAACTGGAAAAATTATATTTCAGACGTATATTAAGTTTATATTTAAATCTTTTGGAGATTGACACTTGCTATCCTTTCCTATCTTGGTAACATTTCTAAGGAATAATAACAAATGTACAATATTTATATAGGTCTTCTGAAGAGACTACTAAAGAACGCCCTGAGCCCTGGAGCCCGTCAACAGTAGAACAAGTGCTTGAAGTTGTGAATAAGCAGAAGGCTCCTGTGCTGTACTACAGTCTTGCAGCTGGCAGGCTATATGCATGGCTGTTACAGCCACATAAAGGTGAGAAAACCATATGACGTTAATAAAAGGTCTCTATTTTTTGTTCCACGGATGGGTGTTATGCATCAATTTTATGCATAACACCCATCCGTATTCTAATTAAACACTCCGCTTCATTCGTTGATTGTCATCGAACAATGTGTTCGGATTAAATAGTTACAATAAATAAGTATTTTATAGTTAACTGACAATATTTTCTCCATTTAGGTATCTTACGATTCCATCAAGTATCTCTTCTGGAGGAAGCTGAAGATAGTGACAACAGTCTGCCTGATATTAGTCCTGATGACCTACAACCAAGTAATGGTAAGTAATTTTGCTCCAATAACCTTTATATGTCCTGGTCATTTTATAATTTCTCTTTCATTTGTTTTTTTGTTCCGCAGGTGGTCTGGGTAAATTAGAGCGTTGTATCAGCGAATGGTCTGCTTGGCTTAAAACGAATGCAGAGCGAAGAGACATTGACGATCACTGGGACCCTGACGAGAGACCCAACACAGGACTTGCCAGAATGGTACAATTTAATTTTGTCTTCATGACATAGACTAGGTTTTTTTTGAGTCTGAAATATCGTCATCACTTCGAAATTTCAGAGATTTAAATTAAAATAAATTTTATCTTTAAAATTGTTAGACAACGATATTCTTTAATGTAAAAGTAAAGTAAATAGAATGTGTCTTCATGTGTATATATGAAAAAAGCTTGCAAACTACCTTTTTTTATTTACATATATCACACATGGAATAAATTATTTATTATCACTCTCTTATATATACGAGTAATATAAAATTATGTGTGTGTGTTTCCGTGATCTAGAAACTGAAGTATAAAGCGATATGATCCAGAATATAATCATTATTGTATGTGTAGTAGCACATTATAAACAAAGAATTGGTTTGTTAACAGGTGACCCGCAACCATCTATTGAATTCATCCAACTACTCATTGAGTTCACTGTTCAGTGTGGGGTCAGTCGGTGGATCTGTAGCAGGGTCTGTAGCTAGCCTTCAGGGCTCTACAAGGTACGTACATTATTCCTTGTATTGCAAACACTATATTTTGAATTAACTTTTTTAAGGCCAACAGAAAGTTTTCTTCCATGAATGTATTAATGGCTTTCTAGTTCCTTATAAGTTTATTAGTACTAAGAATTTTTTTTCAATTCCCATTTATGCCGTTACTATTTACTTGGCTGAGTATTTATTTACTTTATTAATTCTATTTACATTATGTCCTTAGGTCTAGTGTTCATGGCCCTCGGAAGAAGCAACCATCCTGGCAGGGTCCTCCTTGCCTCGGTACACTATACCAGATGTTGCTAGCACCCTTCGAGGATCTGCTGCCTGCATCCTGTAATAATAATCATGGTAAGTTCAACTTTATGAAACATAATATAATTATCATACGACTCGCTTTATATGTCTTTTAGTTATGAATGAATATATACAAACAGACGAACACAACACTATTCAGAACTTCTTTCTCTTCTGTTTGGCAAAGAGTTTTCTATTATTTATTTTTTGAGTAGCTATTGACAAGTTCAGGATTATCATAAAAAAGGGAACATAATTCTTTACGGGTTTTCTAATATCATAATGTCGTTTTATAATATCGAATACTACACTTAAAATTTATTATATTTTCTATAACCCATCTTAACTGATTACGAAATTGCTTTAGACAGAGAACTGCTAATGAAAATGTTGAAATAATTACCCAATTTCCAGCATCACATGGTCGTCGCGGTTGCGGTGGTCGTCGGGAACTCATAGTGGTGGTCGAGGGGGCCCTATACGCTTGTCCCTGGGGTGCCTTAAGAAGCGCACCTCCAACACCCGGCACTATAGCCAGTGTCAATAACATTGCTGGTGACGGCGAACCCTTGTGTGAAAGATATGCTCTGCTAGCAGCCCCTGCATTGAGGCCGCTAAGACATCATCGACATATGAAAGCTAGACCACATCACGATCATGGTATGTACTTTTCGAAACCGTCAATCTTTCATCCATTAGATCATTCGATTGTAAAATGTATTAAGAAATTCTTTAAGATAATATAAATTGAAGATGTTTTTTTAAGTATTGACTTTAAATGTTATTAACACAAAGATATAGGAAGATTTTTCAAACTGTCACATTGGAAACCTCTTTTTTGTTCAAGTGTTTAATGATCATTGTATCAATTTTCTATTACCCAAATATCACAGGATCTTCGACAGCGAACGCTAATGCGGCCGAAGCAGGAATGCGCTGCCTCGTGGTCGGTGCGCCCCGTGTAGGGGGAGCGCGGTGGGCAGCGGCGCATGCGCAGCTCAAAGAAGCTGAACTTGTTGCTGACATGCTTCGTGTCACACCACTCACTGACTATCAGGTAACATTAGAAAGCTGTTTAAGTATCAGACTAAAGTTTAGTCAGGTGCTGCCTATAGTATCTTATCATATCTAGCTTAAAAACTTTTATAAAAAATCCCGTCGAATACTTGTTATATAAAATTCACTTAAAAATATATATGTCTTTAGTCGTTTATGACAAATGTTGGAAAATAAATAGGCATGTGTTTTAAGAAGTTGATGTTATTTTCTTATTTACAGGCATCTAAAGAAGCAGTTTTATCACAACTACCACAAGCTGAATGCATTCATTTTGCGACTCATATCTGCTGGAAGACAGCAGCCATTGTACTCAGCCCCGGCGAAGTAGTGAGTAAATTTTATGCAGTCACAAAAGTGTTTTTATACAGAGTATATACAAAATCATAATATTATATGCAGAACTTTTTTAAAAATAACTAGAAAACGAGACTACTTACACTATTCGAGAGAAAAACCTCTTTGTCGTTATAGAAGGGGAAATAAATACTGTTCAGTTTATAGAGGATTTCGTGCATGTATAAAAACGTATAGTCTACTACGACTGCAAGAATGGCGTAGTGGTTTAAGCGGTCGCCACGCCGTTTCCTACCAAGCCGAGTGTTGTGGGTTCAAACCCTACATGGGACGACACTTTGTGTGATTCACAAATGGTTGTTCTGAGTCTGGGTGTTCTTTGTGTCCGTTTCATGTATGTTTGTAAAGTCCTCTGCGACACAGGATATATTCCTAATGCGAAAGTTCTCTTTTTAAAAAAAGAAAAAGGAAGAAAGAAAGTCTCCCAACCCTAATCAATTAAATAACTTGTAATTTGCTCCACAGGTTGACTCACAAGCTAAACGTTTACTTAACACAAGCGTCGGTAGTGGAGCGGCTGATACCTCCACCGAAAATGAAGAAGAAAGTGAGTTGTACTTCTACTATAGTTTTATACAATATTTACACATTAGTTCAATTAGATTATTAATACGTTAAAATATGACAGATTCGGAATTACCTGCCAGCAACGAAGAACTGCCGCCAGCTTCTGAGTTTATGTTGACTGCTTCGGAAATTATGAACTTGAAGATAACGGCTAGACTGGTAAGAAAAATATATGAATATAATACATAAATTGTAAATAATACATATGTACCTTCCATTGCCATTTACAATGTCACAAATTTATAGTCACCCATCTATGTATTCAGCTCAGGTGACAAACGTTGGTCCAGGATTAGGCAAATCAAAAATTTGTTTGAAAAGCATTTTAACAAACTTAATAATACTTCATTGTAGATACATTAAAGTCAGGGGGAAGGAGCTGATTGCTACTGCCTATAACACCCCCACCCCATCCGCCTGCCATACCGAACTGTTTCTTATCAGGCGGGCTTATTGTTTACATTTATTTTAAAGTTTTATTTTACCATCATTTTTTGTACAGTTATGATGTTTATGACGATATTCATTTACATAAAGTCATAGTTTGCTAAAAATCAAATTACTTCACACTACAACTACAAAAACTTCAAGTCAATCAATAAATCTAAGCTATTATATCCTTTAGGTTGTAATATCCTGCGCGCCGTCTAGCGGTGCCCTCCAAGACTCCGGCGAAGATACCGATGATGTCAGCATGGCAGGAGATGGTGTATCTCGTCTTTGTCGAGCATTGCTGGCAGCTGGAGCTCACTCCATCCTATTAACAATGTGGCCCGCACCACAAGATACTGCCACAAAAATATTGTACAGAGCCCTCTACTCTGCACTTCTACAAGGCAGCAGGGTTGCCAAGTAAGTTGCCTGACATACCAATATATATGCAAATGTTTAAGATTATAAAATGTAATGTTTTATTATTTACTGTCTTTTTAAATTGTTAATTTTATAAAATAAAATAAGATTTACCTTCACAATACTGATTTCTGTTTGTTTGCAGAGCATTGGGTGACGCGATGCAGACCGTCCGCCATACCAAACACTTCGCACATCCGGCGCATTGGTCTGGGCTTGTCCTGGTCGGCGCCAACGTCCGCCTCAGTAATAAAGTTGCTCTCATGGGTCAAGCGCTGTGCGAGCTGCTGGCGGCACCTGACAAGTGCAGGTATGTGTATAGTATAGTATTTACAGTGAATAAGAAGTATAAGGAAGTTGCTACTAAAGAGGACTGAAAGAGGTAACCACATCCTACTCACTCGCCCTCGGTTTGGCGACCTTTGCGATAGTCAAGAATAAAAAGCTTCATACAAGTTCGAGTACCGATAACACAATGACATGTGTTTCGTTTTCATTTCATGATCTTAAAAATGATTCGGCTGTAAATACTATTTTGCTGATGTGTCTGTCGTAATCAAACCTTTTAACAGTTCCTTCTTTTATTAAAGTGATTTGAAATTTTCCTATATGTACATCTAGTTGTGTGTAAATCACTCACAATACGTATTTTAATTCCTGAAGTTATGTACAAAATTTGAAAATTCCAGAGATGCATTACGCGTTTGTCTTCACTTGGTTGAGAAGTCATTACAAAGAATAGTTCGCGGACAGAAGAACGCTATGTACACCACACAGAAGAGCATTGAGAACAAGGCAGGAAACGTCAGTGGTTGGAGGGAACTGCTTATGAGTGTTGGCTTCAGGTAAAATATCATGTGATATAGTGCTGACAAAGTAAATCTCCCCCAAATGTATGGTTGTTTAAACTTAATTTCTCTTATCCTTGGAGGGTCCCAAAGATAAGACAAATTACGTTTAAACATCCTTTCGTTTCAACATATTATTGTTCAAATAATGGATGGCAACGGCTGGCAATAATTGAAATTAATTTAAATATTTAAATTTTAATTAATATTGGTTTTTAATAAGGTCTGTTCTTAAAATGTCAATATATTTCTTCAGATTCGAGCCGGCGGCAAATGGAATCCCTTCTAGCGTATTTTTTCCGCAAAGCGATCCCGAAGAACGATTGACGCAGTGCTCTGCCAGTTTACAAGCCTTACTTGGTGAGTCACACTATTCTGCTTAAACACTCTGCCTTTAGTAAGCAGACGAATATAAGAATATATAGTGTTCCAAGGACATATGTTAGGTGTCAGTTAAAAAAAAAACAAATTAATAAATATTTATATTTTAGGATTAACTTCGACAACACTACAATCATTATCCAAGCTGATATCAAACGGTGACGTGGCTGATGACATCATCGGCGTAATACGTTCAGTTATTTCGCAGTTCTCTGTTAAGAATTCAGATACCGACACTATTGAAGTTGCAGTAAACGTAAGGTGTGTTTGGGTTTTTTCTTCTGTTTGTTTCTTTTGTTTTGTTTTTAATATACTCAAAAATCAATATGTACAATAAGTCTATTAATATGATTTTAAATCTTAATCAATTTGTTTACTTGTCAAATTGTAAAACGCATAGCTATATTTTAGTGCTGTTAGAAACACTCTATTCTTTTATATTATTTTAGACTATGGCGGGTAAATGGTTGTCACGAGCTACTAGCATCATTAGGTTTTGACCTTGCGGAAGTTGGCCAAGACGAAGTCACTCTACGGACTGGTAAAGCAGCCAACAGAAGACACATACAATTTGTTCTGCAGGCGTTGCTTGCACTGTTTGGTATGTTCACGTTTATGCAAACCTAATGTAATATTGTCACTTGGTTATTATTTCTTGTGGCTAAGGCTATAAATTGGTTTGAGATCATTCTCACGACGTTTTTGCCATTTACAACCCCTCCCTCGAAACACTTATATTATATATTAATATACTTTGTTTATTAATTAGATACACAAGAAGCTCCACGAAGTTTGAGTCTAGAATCAAGCTCAAGTGTTGAATCACTAGCATCAATAGATGATGGGGATCTCGAACCCCATTCCGATGGTGAACCACCACCAAGACAGCATCGACGTAAGTAGAATTTGATATACCCTTGTAATAACTCGCTGATACTAATAACGTTAAACACTGTCACAATTACTTTAAAGACTTACCAGATCAAGACATTGTACAAAACTGTAGTTAGCAAGTAATAACTTAGTTATACAATATTGTTTAGTAATTTATTTGTTTGATTGTGTTTAATTTTTTAAATTAGTAGAAAATACCGACAAACGCGTTATCTATTTCTTAAACCTTCATTCTATTTTACAGAAGAAAGCGTGTCTTCAGTACCACCTCCACCGCTGCCTCTAGGCTCGTGCGGAGGAGCTTTTACCATGTACGTTCGTGGTTCATCAGCATCAACAGAAGTAGGTCGGGGTGAGCCTGATGGACGAACAGCGCCACCGCCCGCTCCACCTCCACCGAGATACCGAGGGGAGAGTGATGCTGCTTTCACACCATCTCCACCTGCTGCACCGCAAGCCCCAACTACAGCTCCACCAAGAGATGTATCCTTGGCACTTGCCCATCAAACTAAAATCAGAACATTATACACTAGAAGGCCACCGTCTGATGACTCCGACTGGGAAAGTTCTGGCCACGATACCGTACTAAGGCGTCGACCCGAACACTCACATGCAAGATACTTAGATGCTTTCTACGATTTGGCTTCCGCCCAACCTAGAAGATCGGAGGAAGAGAAAGCCGAACCATCATTAGCCCAGCCATCAACATCCAAACGAACGCCTAGACCAAAAATGGGTACTAGTAGTAGAGATTCAATGGCTCAAGTTCGACATATGAGCGGAGAACTAACTCCAACGATTTCGGAAGTGTATCATGAAAGAAATATTGGCTTAGGTCTGGCACCACCATTAGCAGAATTACTGCTAGCCGAAGAATCAAAAACTGAAATGAGAGCAGCCAGTTCAAGTGAAAATCTTTTACTACAGAACTTGGAGAAGTTAGGTCTTCTGGGTGACGCCAGTGAAAATGAAGAACGTTGGTGTGGTACTAACTCTTCAAGGCCCTGGCTATCAGCACCACCTTTAGAGACTGATGTGCAAGGATCAGATTTAACGACAGCAGAGATTATAGAACGACAAACGAAATTTAAAAAGGATACTGAACCTAAGAGGAAAGAAGAAAACGCATATGAACTTAAGCCTAAAGAGGAAACTCCAGGACCAAGTGGTATCGAGAAGCGTTCAGTATCGCCATTCTCTGAATTATCGCGAAGAGACGAAGGAGACGGCCGAAGTATTGCTGACTCACATTCTTCATACAAGGCTTTAGTATTGAGCCCAAGGGCCCCATACCTACCCGAAGAAGGAGAGGTGACGTTAAGTGCCACAGGGTCAGGTGTTACCGCAGAAGGGGGTAAGACACATCCTCGCTCCCGTAGGCCGCCTGTACCCCGCACAAGACCTCCGTATACGACTTTAGACTTTCCACCGAGTAAATGATTAAGATTTGTATCTAAATATTTAATAAATATAGGATATTTTTGAATGATTATAATTTATTTCGTGTTTGTGAATAAGTGTAATGGCTATGATGAAGTCAATACATAGTGTGCTAGTTCGCTTTTCTAATCTGTTTTATAGCTTGTATTATACTGGATATGACATATCGTTATTTTATAAATATTGAATAATTTATTTCGTATTGCCAATTAAGAATAATAATTGTAAATCTTAGTTATTACTAGATAAGACGTGAGAGGATGATTCTTGCCATTGCTTACTTCGTTTTTGATGTAATTGTAAAAATTGAACATAAATACAGTTGTAAAATTTCAATCGTCTTTTACTTTGATAAAGAAACCCACATCCATGAGGCATAGAATCAACGCAATAATTTAAGCTTCTATCGGAGTCGGAACCAGTAAGATATTCCTGAAATACATACGTTATTCTGATTATATTATCTTTTATTATCCTTCCTCCTTTCGTTCGATATTTTTATTGCATAGAAATAAAAAACCTCAACAGAATAAGTTGGACAAATTCGATTAAAATATTATTCTCCCCTGTAAGCTACTTTGTGTTTCAACGGGTATCCCGAACTCGTGTCACAACATTCTTAAGAGTAAAACCATGAAGTAAGTGAGCTGGAAACAATACTACAAGATAATACTAGGCAGCACTACACAGATTTAAATGCAGACAAGCGATTAAGGAATGTTTTTTTTTGTTTAGGCGTAAAACTTTCTTAACTTTTTTCCAAACAATTAAACGAAAAGCAACACAAGCTTTTAAGATTATTTGCCAGTGTCTTGTTGTAGTCTAAAAATATAAAGTGTAAGTTCCTACTCATGTTGACACTGATCTTGGCATATATAGAAAAATCGACCACTTTCGCTTGCCGACGACCCGATTCCAATGTGACAAAAATAATATTAAGTTTAAAAACTGAGCCATATTATATTTAGATACATTGCAGTTAAAAATGTCGCCTCTAAGCAATTATGATGTAATGTACTAAAAAAAAATTACGAGGCTACAGCCTACTATTCGGTACTAGTAATAATTCGTAGTACTTCCTAAACACTTATAATGAAAGTCGGTAATAGTAATTTATCCAATTAGGTATCTCTCAAAATTAAGCCTCACAAGACAATAAATTTACAAGTTCCGACCCTTACAAATACCCATCATTGCGAGTAATTGCGTTAACGTTTAAATAATGCTAAGCAATAGTTATTTATTGGTTTTACAAACAACCAATCATACATTGTAAAATAAAAATAAAAACAAGTGCAAGCGCAGCAACAACAGAAACGTTGGCACTTGCTGCCAGAGTTACCTTGACCCTGACATAACTTTGAACAACGGCATGAATTCGTTTTGTTCTAAGTATATATTGAGCTTTTTATGCTAACAATTACTTTTACTTTTTAGAAAGAGATAATCATCATTGACACTCATAAATCGACTTTGTTTATGAGTAAGTATCTAATGTTAAAATAGAATGACACAATTTCTTATGAATGTAGCGTTAATATTACGTTCTATAAATAACTACTCTCACTTAAAAATATGACGCGTAGTATTTTTTTATGATTCTGTTAATATGCCAGAATCATATGGAAATATATTCAAAAAATTTAGCATATAAAAGTTATACTTCTTTGTTTTCGTCTTTCAGTCTTCCACCCTAATATGAAGAGTTTGTTTCGCAATATCAGTTACCTCCGGATACATTTAGTTCGAATACTTAAATAAATTATTTTATCAGTATATTGTAATCAATCACTACGATAGTTACATAACTACATTGGACAATAATCGACACACGAAATAAGCATTAACTAACCAGTCTAATTTGAACATACCAACACGCTTCTAGCAAACAACAACAACCTCTTTAATTAAAATTAATGATTGTTTTATTTAAATGTAATTATTTACAACTAAAATTATTGTCTGTAGTTGTTAACTATCGTTGTGATTAATGATTTACTCACGGTATACCTTTTAAGTAAATGAAGAGGGAAAAGAGTGAAAAGATTGTCATTTGATACTAGGCTAAGAGTGAATTTACATACCTTAACAATCTGTAATTTATTGCTGCATCGGTGTATGATGTAAAAAAAATCTTGGGCAGACTATTTTTCTCACCTATCCCATGGTGTAGTCTATCCAGGGGATAGGTCTTTCAAACACGTGAATGGAATGTTAAAACTATTTTAACATTCAGTAGTCCGATTGAAAAATATAAAGTTCTAATTATGGTACTTTACTTATAAGGACTGAGACCGAGACGGATTCCTTACATGTAGTTGTTACCTATTTAAAACAGGTAGTAATATATGAAACACCTAAAGTACGTCTCGAATGATTATTTTAGGGATTGAGTGTTCTCCGAGTAGTAGTGCGAAAAGAAAGTATAAGGAGCACATATTTATTTATACAAGTATAGGAAGATGTTACTGCTTGGATGGGCCGTGTGACCGTCTAGAGAAACACTGGAGAATAGGGCTCTGCTACTAACATCTCTCTGACGAAAGTGCTGGCCTGGTAAATTTAGAAAATTATAAATTATACAAAAAATTGTGTGAGTAGGTCATTTCAGCAAAATATTTGTGTGGATGATTCACTTTGCTCACTCAACCTTATATCCTACTAAGGCCATTTGAACTTTGCTGCATTTGAGGCGGTATAAAAAACTCACTAAAGTAGTTAAATGAGTAGATTATAATACTATAAAAGCTAGGCTACCTTTTTGCCTTTAAAATGAAGAAAAATACCTAATATCGGGTGCCTAAAAACCTAATCATTTTATTTTGTGGAGGGATTTTTATTATCAAACAGAATCTACGAAAAGTTGATAAATACTTTATTCTGAGCAAGCTTTAATCCTTCACTACATTCAAAGATACCAGAGAAGACGCTGTGAGACAAAAATAAATTAATAACCAACAATAATAAAATAAAGACTGGAATGCTGCATACATAATACGTCTCGACATTCATATGAATTAAACTCCTGTCACTGTCACAAGCAATCAGGAAAAACAACAAAAATTATGTTAGGATCTGTCAAAGAGTAACATTAAACTTTAATTTACTTTTATTAAATATATATATGTTTCGTTCAGAGATTTAAATTATCAATTCTTAGTCCGTACTACTGCTCGTTTATGTGTGTCCGCACCCACACGATACGCAAGGCCGTTCCATTAAACGAATCAATGTTCATTCGACAATAAAATGTAGCTTTTCTTATCTAATGTTTCTATAAAGGTACTTATTACACTCGGTTGAGTGTAAATCTAAATAACTTTAAACTAATTTAAATTAAGAAAGCATTGGTAGCAACATTATTTTTTTATTTAAATATGTTTCTGGTGTTAGCAAAAGCAAAAAACTATCTTCACTTAATAAAAGTAACTGTGATTTTTGGAGAGCCTGGATCAGAACTCAAACGATCATTAATAATTAAACTTATAATGTACGACTACCCTTTTTACCACTTTATCATTGCTCGTCATTTTTTAAGCGGACCAATAACGTGGCGCTACCAGTCTCTTAACAGTATCTAACAATATCTAGTAAATAATTTCCAATCTGTTTCAGTTTACTTAGTTTAGGTATAAATACACATACACATACATATTGATAAATTAGAGTAGACTCAGCTCAACAGCATACGCAGTAAGAAAGATTCGAGAGTTGACAGATGTTGATACATGTGGATTACATGGAAGACTAATATGCTTGAGATTAATTTAGCGCAGGCTATTTCTTAAGTAGAAATGTAATGTGGCCTAGAGTGTTTTTTGTTATTATTATTTAACTTTTCGTTTCTATTTTCCTGTTTCACTTCACTTTCTCTTTTATTTGATCTTTTTTTCTTAATCTTATTTTTCTCTTTGTTGTCTTTTTACTTTTTAGTCCTCAATAACGGACATACTGGCATACATCAAAACAATGTTGTGGTAAATTTAAGGATGACATTGTATCTATCTGTAAATTGCAAAAGAGTGGACATGAGTTTGTTTGCCCTTTCTTCTCATAAGGCCCCCTTGGAAACGCGCGATTGTGGATCGGCAGAGGCATATCATAGATTTTGTACTATTCAGTTTATTACTGTTGTGTGTGTGTGTGTTGATCTACGACTTTAGAGTCTACATAAAAAGATGATTTCAAACATTTTTTTTTTATGAAGTAAAGAAATTTTTAATTGAATTTAGCTCTATTTTAATTTAAAAAAATGGCTTTTCATGTATTAACATCAAAATTAGAAGCAACAATATTTTTAATAAACCACTAAGTAAGAATAATAATGTACATTGAATAAATTTAAGACGACACAACTGTCACGAAAACGAGCTCATATACGTGGTTGATCTCTTCTAAGAGTATTTTTTTTTGGAGTTTGACAGTAGACAAATCATAATTAGTCTTCGCCAACTATCAGGCGAGTGTACAGTTCCTGTTGCCACCTCAGTTACATTTAAAAGGATACCATTACTTTCGTACTCAAATGACAAAAACTGAAACCAGTTTAGTTGCATTAAATGAGATACTTAAAATCATAATTGAAATTAAATTATACCCGAGGCGAATGACTTCGTCGGCTTTGAGTCATTCACAAACAATAAGTAATATGCTAATTATCGAGATTTAGTGCGCATAATCCGATTTGGGTTTAGCAGTTTCCAACTCACGACCTGAGATTGAGTCAATATCGAAAGAAATAATATGAATAGTGTATTAGGTTTAGCCTAACTAAGGTCTGTGGCGTGCAATGAGAGAGGCCTATGTCCAGCAGTGGACTGCGATAGGCTGATGATGAAGGTCTGTTTGCTTTTGGATTTTGGAGTAGGCCAAAACCTCCTTTCTAAGGAGAGGCCTATGTCCAGCAGTGAACTAGTATATGCTGTTGATGATGATGATGATGTTTGCTTTTGAATTTTCAAATTAATTTGTAAATACTATTATAGCTTTTGCCTGCGGCT